GTACAAGGCAGGTCACGGCTGTTGCGCTGTAATAAAAATGGACTTTTCTTCCAGTTAACTCCTTTAAGAATTGATTTCACTTCATTTCTCTCCCACATTGAAAAATAGTTCTATTTTCTTTACAGACCTTTGTATAGATTCACTTCAAGAGGAAAGTGATTTCTAGAGGGAGATCGAAGTAGGCTACTTTATGATTATATTTTAGCTTGGACTGGTCAATGGAGAGTTGGGATGGATCCAGGTAAAGCAGAAAGAGAGACTTGATTCTAGAATCACTGTGATGTTAAGGAGAGTGTTCAGCAGGAGATGAGACCAACTGCACAGAAACAAAATGTGGCAGAGTATTGACAGGCTAGGGTGGGTGCTGTGGGATGTTCTGTATGTTAAATGTGTTGCTCTGATTGGTTAATAAATAAAACACTGATTGACCAGTAGCTAGAAAGGAAGTATAGGCGGGACAAGCAGAGGAGAGAATTGTGTGAACAAGAAGGCTGAGTTAGAGAGACGCTGCCAGCTGCCACCATGACAAGCGAGATGTAAGGTACCGGTAAGCCACGAGCCACATGGCAACGTATAGACTAATAGAAATGGGTTAATTTAAGGTATAAGAACAGATAGCAAAAAGCCTGCCATGGCCATACAGTTTATAAGTAATATAAGTCTCTGTGTGTTTACTTGGTGAGAGAGATTCATCCTGACTGAGGGCAGGCAGGACCAGGAAAACTCTAGCTACAGGTGAGAGCAGGGAAAGACACCAAGGACTTTAAAGGGGCACAGCCCTGTCATTGAGCCACCTTGCATATCCTCATTGGTGCTTACACAGCAAAGCTGGGCCCAGTCTTAGAAGAGTAGGCTATGATGTGGGTCTAAGTAGAGCAATGGTCTAACTGCATTCAGCCCCATCCCACAGGGGCTGGGGCAGGAGATGGGGAGACAGAGCCACAGCACATCCTTGGATGTCTGTGTTTCAAAGAGAGTCTTCCAGATCCCCATGGAGACAGTTTTTGAGTGAACATTCACATCTTCAAAGGCAGAGCAAGGGCTGATAATTGCCAATCTTTACTGCAACTGGTCTGTGAAGGTGCTTGAGGCTCTGTCTGCATGTTACCATGTTTTCACTGAAACAAATAGATACATTTGTCTGGGATATCTGCACTGACTTAACACACAGTCATTTTAAGGAGGATATGGTCACCATAGCAACAAGACCCTGCTAGAATCTGTGCTAGTATTTGGTGAACTCTCTCTGTGTAGAAGTTCAGATGTAATTATTTTATGTACAATGTTCTCAGGCTTCATCAGTGGATTCTCTCACTGAGGGGTCCATTCGAAAGCAAAGAAAATAGGTTCTCTCAAATTCTGGATGATGGTTACTGTGTACACATGTATGTACGTGCATGTGTGTGAGTCACAACCAGTGTGTCTTCTATAAACAGTGTCTCAGTAAATTTAATATTTTCAGATTAGTTTTCAATGACTTTCTGCCTAATCCTGGAGTTAGAACCAGGAAAGTTAAATTTAAAGAAGAGAATATAAATATAAAGACCCAGAAGACATGATTGTACCAACAGGGTCAGATCCCTGCCCTAAGCAGTGTCTCCTGTAGAGCGTGTTTCCCCTGGACAGCTTCCTGCTCTGGGAACAAACATAAATCACATGGCTATAAACAGTGTGGAAACAGCTCTGAGGAGGCTGTCCTGAAGACACCTTGTATGTGGCTGAGTTCCCATTCAGCATATTGGTAGACTGAGGCAGACTTGAGTAGCACCAGTGCCTATCACACTTTGCTCTACTCTGGTTCCCAGAGGTATAATGAAGCTTAGTGTGACAGGCCTTCCAAGCTCCCTGGGCCAGGCGCACTACAGCTACCATTCTGGATGCGCCCCTCCCTGTGGGAACTCAACAGACCACAGTCTGTAGTGGGCAGCTGTTCCAGCTTTCACCTTGAAACACTGCTCCTAGAGTAACAGCTGGTAACTGCCACAGCTGCCTATGACCTGCCCCTGGGGCGTGGCTGAGAGGGAGCCCTTGAAGACTCGAGGTGCATATGTGTTTGGCCCTTCTGGATACTTCGTGGTCCTAAAATCTGGATCGGAGACCAAGCCAGAGTTCTCTGCTGGATGGTACCTCATCTCTTCTAGATCCTGTAACCAATCTCTATTGGCTATAAGTTATTTCAGAAGTAAACCTCTCTTGATTACTTGGAATTGCCTCGTTAAATACAGTTATAATAATCTGAAAGCCCGAGGACTCTCATGCCTTGTCACTAGCTTTTTGTTCTTAGATATTCCATGTTTAAGTCCCTTTATGCTCCGGTTTTCCAGAGAACTAAATTCTCATTTGTAGAATGTAACTAAACTTTTACCAGTGTATCATATTCATCATGAATGCTCTTAGAACCTCCTTCCTTCCATGCCTTCCTACCTAGAAGATGGGGCCATATTTTGGTGGGTTTTACCTGCCTTCCATGTAACTTGAACTGATCCCAGTGGCTCTGTCTCTGGTTGTGGGTGTGATGCCCATGTACTAATGGCATATTTGGGCTTATAAGAATGGAGGAGGCCTGTGTCCCAGATACTTAGGGATTTGTTATGGTTTTGTAGAGAGCTTGGAAACGTATCTAAGACCCTGAGTTCCACGTCCCTGACCTGAGTGGTCCTAAGCATAGTGCACATTATTACCCCTAGCTGGACTGGTTTTAATTAAAATTTTCCATTTATTGTAATTAAAAATTTCCTAGTGATTTATAAAGTAAGAAAGAAGAAGCCATGAGAGTTATAAAAAATGACCATATTAACATGAGTACTAGTCCAGGAGAAGTTTGCTGCCTGTTGTCACATGACTGTGTAAGCCCTCTTCCTTATCACATTTTAAAACAACTGGGTCCAGCTTTACTAAAACTTTTAACATGAGATACAATTTAGGTAGGAACCATTGCCTTTGGTTTCAAAACCTATAGAAATCTGCGTTATGTTTTAGCATAGAAGAATGTAAAATATATCAATCAGTTCAAATTGCAGCACAAAAGTTAACTTTAAAACTGAATAGTGTGGTCTCTATTAAATGCAATGTTTATAGGGTTTTCCTGAGTAGATTCTCATTTTGGTACAGTCTTCCAGAGATTTTAAAGATAATTTTTAGAATGGAGAGCTGCACATGAATACAGGAATCAATACATATGAAAATGGAATGTGCTATCACTATCAAGTGAGGCTTGATAGTGCAGGAGTGTGATCCAGCTACTCAAAAGGATGAGGAGGGAAGGTCACAAGTTCAAGGACAGCTTGAGCTATAGAGTCAACTCAAGGCTACCCTGGGCAACTTACTGAGATGTCAAAATTTAGAAGTTAAGAACAGGGCTGAGGTTAGAGCTCAGTGGTGGAGAGCCTACCTACTATGCACAGACTCTGGGATCCACTTTCAGTATTGCCCCTCCCCCAAATGCTTCATGTCATGTATAAATACTTATTCTTATTGCTATTAAATTTGAGGCCACATGTGTGGAAAGTCTGGCAAATTTTAACTGAATAGTCTTCTTTGTTTCCATTGATGTTTATAATCAGGATGAAATTTAACTATTTGGAGATTGTTAGTTTTCTGTCAACTGATACAAGCTAGAGTCATCTGAGAGGAGGGAACCTCAATTGAGAAAATGCCTCTATAAAATTGGACTGTAGGAAAACTTGTACACCATTTTTTTAAATTAGAGGTTGATGGGGAAGGCCCAGTCCATTGTGGTGCCATCCCTGGGCTGGTGGGCCTGGGTTCTGTAGGAAAACAGACTGAGCTAGCTATGAGGAGCAAGCCAGTAAGCAGCGCCCCTCCATGGCCTCTGTATATCAGCTCCTGCCTCCAGTTTCCTGCCCTGTTTGAGTTCCTGTCATGACTTCCTTCATTGATGGACCAAGATGTGGAAACACAAGCCAAGTAAACCCTCTCCTCCCCAAGTTGCTCTTGGTCATGGTGTTTCATCACAGAAATAGTAACCCTAACTAGGACAGAGATAATTCTGAGGTGGAAAGAACAATACCACTTATGAGCTGATGCATCTGCTAACTTGGATTTCATTTGGTAGATCTGGATGGTATTTCCTGTAGTTAGCAGGTGTTGTCATTGATGGAGTCCACTGGTACCTGGTGTGCTGATCCTTTGCATTTCTGATATTGTTTTCTGATATTTGAATTGCTCTTTCGCTTCTGTTTGTGTTCATGGTAGAGACTCTTGTCCACCAACATTCATACTCCCTTCTTGCAGTATGTGGAGCTGGACCACATTTCCCAGCCTCCTCGGCAGCCAACAGGTAGTAACAGTGTCCCTCACTCTCAGCTAAAGGAATGCAGCCATTTTAAAGCATCTTCTACCAACAAGTTTCCTGGGAGTGTCTCATTCCCTTTCCCAGCTGATGGATGTGCAGAATGGACAGAGGGTCACACAAAGGGCAGAGCTGGGCCCACCATAGATGGGTCCAGGGGTGAGAAGTACAAAGGCTGGGATCAACCTCAGCAGCCGAGTCTTCAGAGCTTATGAGCTGTGATATCATAGCCCCAAAGACACAGTGTCTGAGTGGGACTCCTTACACCTGGGATCACATTGCTTACAGAGAAGACAGTTACCTAACCTAACGTAATCCTTCTCTGTCTCCCCATATCTACCTAAATGGTGGGCTTGGTCTCATCTTCCAGATGCCAGCTTCTCATGGGGCCTCCTTTCCTATGCTTCCACCGAAGTGGGCAGATGTGTCCCACAAACCTGTTTCTGGCTCCTGCTTCAGGTTTGAGGTAAGACGCTCAGCAGAGGTACTGAAGGAACTCTGAAGAGAGTGCTCCAGGCCCACATGTCTATACAGCTCAGGTTTGTACACGAGGAGCTGGGCAAAGTGGGCTTTTCCATGGAAGGGAATAATGAAATGAAGAATATTGGTCTATTAATTAATTTTCTCTTGCTGTGATAAAAAATAGTCATGGCCAAAAGCCACTTATGGAAGGAAGCGTTTATTTGAACTTATGGTTCCAGAAGGATAAGAGTCCATCATAGCTGCGAGGCAGGACATCGGACATGGTGGCTGGAGCAGGAAGCTGAGAGATCACATCCTCAACCGTAGTCACAAAGAAGAGAGAGAAACCTAGAAGTAGGGTGAGGTATAAACTCTCAAATCCCACCCCCAGTGACTTCCTTTCTCCAGCGAGGCTACACCACCTAGACCTTCCCAAACTGCACCACCTGCTGGGGACCAAGTGTTCAAATGTCTCCTTAGGGAAGGCGCTTCTTCCTCAAACCACCACAGCTGGCTTTTAAAACCTCCCATTTTTTTCCTTTTATTTTATTTTATTTTACAATACCATTCAGTTCTACATATTAGCTATGGGTTACCCTGTTCTCCCCCCTCCCACTTCCTCCCCTTCCCCCCAGTACACCCCCCATTCCCACCTTCTCCAGGGCAAAGCCTCCCCTGAGGACTGCGATCAACCTGGTAGACTCAGTCCAGGCAGGTCCAGTCCCCTCCTCCCAAACTGAGCCAAATGTCCCTGCATAAGCTCCAAGTTCAACCTCCCATTTTTAAGGGAGTTTATTTTTATTTTATTTTTATTTTTTTAAGTGGGAAATATTCTCCCAGCCATGCATTTTCTCACAATTTCCCCTTTGGAGGAAAGAGCAGAAGTCTTTTAAAGCTTTGTTTTCAGTGGGTGATCTGCACATCTTTGCATGCTCCCTTTGAAGTTCCTAGTGCTGCTTCTTTTTAGGTCTGGTGTCCTGGAGCCCAGGCTTGAAGTGTGCTAGGCAGAGATTGCCACACGTTACCTCATCCTTGCTGGGTTTATGGATATAAAAAGCCCTTAACCAGGGCCCGTTCTTATAAATGCCTGTATTAAAGAAAAAGAGAACAAGCCCATGAATTAGAAGCAGTAAACCACCATAGTTAAAGGACCACAAGCTTCCCAGCAGAACACATAAAGCAAAACACCTTACAAAGTGTAATCAACTGTGCGTCTTCTCTGCTTTATTCTCTTCTTCATCTTGTGTCACCCTTCACCAGAATCCCTCTGTTGAAACTCCTGAACCACTTCTGATCCAGGGTTATACTTCTCATGAACTGCTGCTTGATCAAATAGACTCCTTAAAACGACACTGTATTTCAGTTTGCTTTTATAAATGTAGCTGCTTCCCCAAGTGCAATGATTTTCTACTCCACGATGAGCATACATGGATGGTTATGCTTTACCACAGCCTGTCACAGTAACTCAGAGGAAGGTGGGTGGGGCAGGTCAGATTCAATGTGAATGCCCAGCTTTCTGGAAATGACTCCAGTAACTTAGGAAATCAATTTAAGCATTGCCAAATGAGATGCCGTCAAACTAAAAATCTTCTGTAAGCAAACAACTATGAAGAAAGAGCCTATTGAATGGGAGAAAAATCTTTGTCCTTAGACATCTGGCAGGAATCTAGAATGATTCTTTAAACCTCAAAAACTAAACACAAGAGCCAAATAGTTCAACTAGCAATTGGGCAAGATGAATAAACAGATACTTCTCAAATGTTGAAATGCACATGGCCAGTAGATGCATGCTGGACATGTTCACCTTTAGGAAAATGCAGATTTACAGTGAGGTTCCATCATGCCCCATGAGAACAGCTGTCTTTACAAAGGGCAGTAGGGATGAACTTGCTGCTGGAAGGAGTGTAAACTAGAAAAGCCATGATGGAAATCTTCCTGGAGGTTCTTCAACAAAGTGAAAATGAAACTACCACATGATCCAGCTACACTCCCCCTGGGAGTGTACCCCAAGACGTCAAAGATTATGGGGCCATTTGCAAAGTGTAGTTATGGAATCAGCCTAGCTATCCATGAAGAGATGAATGAATGAAGACAGTTGGTATCTGTACACATTGGATGTTTGTCTGCTAGTAAAGAAGAAGGAAACTGTTACTTGGAGGAAGATGGATAGAATTGAAGATCATCATGTTGAGTGACCCCAAATGATAAATACAACATAATTTTCTCTCATATGTGTCAGTTAGAACTTACACACACACACACACACACACACACACACACACACACACACACACACACACACCACACCACACCCTGAAAATATATGGAGGACTTGTAACTACCGGGGAAGGGAGGTATGTTGTTGAGGGAAGAGAGGAAAGGGACGGATTATGGTGAGTAAACATGTCAGAGTACCCAAACAAACAATAACGTTGTTATGAAGGCCATCACTTTTTCCTGTGACTATATGCTAATAAAATGCTTTGATTGTGAAAAAGAAAGAAATAAAAAATGAAAAAGATGTGTGCCTAGCAATTTGGTATTCCTATTTTCTCTAAGTCACCTTTGGTTAACACTTGCTTTCCTCTGATGTTTATCACTCTTTCTCTTTATTTCTATTCCATTGGGTTGCAGCTATTATTAGAAAATATGACTTACCTGATTGGAAAGTCTGGGCATATTCACATACGATTTATCGGATCACACATTGATATTTAAACTTTTGTCACCAATGAAAGCATCCATTTCCATGCGTTTAAAAAAATCCATGAGAACATCTGAAAAGCTGGTTTCACTGCCTGAAGAGCCACATGATGTGTGAGCTCTCATGGCCTATGGAGTCCCTCTGCAAGCACGTTCATGGCTATGAGACAGGACAGGCAAAGTCTTAACTGGAAGACTTTAAATTCTTTACTTGTTTGAAAGGACAAGACCATTTAGTGTCAATTCAAGGATATAGAGGCTTCAGTGTAATGAACCTGATACCAGGTGGATGGCTAGTCACCTCAGGGAGAGACACATCTCAACACACCATGGCTTCTTCTTAGTCCCAAGGACTGGTCATGTGGAGTGAATCTGCTGTGTTTGGAGGCTGCACTTTGCCACCTAGCTCTGCTCCTTTTGGATATCGTGAGTCCCACCAAAAACAGAGATGCTGAGTGTCATTTCCTACTGTCATCTGTGCCACAGTAGTTGCCTGGGTTTCTCTCACTAAATGACTTTCTTAGTCTCCAGGTGAGGGGTATATCTTTGAGTTCTGCCTGTGCTCAGATGGCACACATACCGGTCATACTGATTTATCCATTATGACATCCTCACTGTCCAGAGATTTGGAATTCTTCCTTTATACTCTAGCAGGAAAGTGCTGAGTTTTGATGTCATTGGCTGTAGGTGCTGAAATTCCTTGTTAAGTGTCTCATGGAATTAACTATTAATTATCCTCAATCATTTATATATATTACCAGCTGTACCAGCTCTGGAGTGTGTCCCTTCTCATTTCTGTATCCTTAAAATAGTTTACTAGACATGTCCTCAGGCTCCTACCTCTTCAGAGTGCCTGTTGCTTTCTGGGAAACAGGTCTTGGGCATTTCCTTCTGAACTGGGCGTTATGTAAATTTGCTTCAGGCAGGAGTTGAGGAGGGAGTGGTGCCCTTTGATTATACTATCTCCAAAAATCTATGGCTTCAGAGAAATTCACTGAAGAGTTTTTAGAAAAGATAAAACAACAGGATATTGGGGCAGAGTCCCGCTTCTCCTTGGTTCTTTGTGAAGTTTCTCCTTTTAAGCAGCACTGCCAGGCTGTGGGCATGACCTGGGATCACTGAGCAAAGAGAAAGTGCTGTTCCTAATTCACAAATGAAACCACCAAGCAAGAGAACAGCCAAATGCCCCACTGGTTTTTTTTTTGGGGGGGGGAGGTTTGTCTTGTTTTGTTTGGAGCAGCTGTTATTGATTCATGTGGGTCCCTACCACACACAGGTGACCCCAGACCGAAATTACAGCATATTTAAAAGATATTTGCTGGAAAGTGAACCCTCTAAAAAAATAAGTAATTTTAAATGAGTTAAATGTCTACAATATCCAAAGAATTGCCTCTATGGTCTACCACATGCTACCAAGGTTATGGAAAGACTGACTGGAGGTGTGAAGTCACACTTGCGGCTTTTGGATCCACCTTTTTTTTTTTTCTTTTTACACTTTGCTAAGTATGTCAAGTGTCAGCTATTTCCTGGATAAACTGATGACAGAGTCAGGACCTCCATAACCAGGTGCTTTAAGGAGTGAATGACTGAGTGTGTGTAGTCTGTCCTCAAGAAATGCCAGGTGTTCTGGTGCTCCTTTGATCACAAACGTCTGGACCACAACTCTTTAAGAAGGAGTTAATGAGCATGGCATGTTCTCCATTCTCAAGCATAAGATCAGTTCCAGAGTTAACATCATGAACACTGACATATGTCCTAGGAGATTGTCCCGCATGGGAAGTGGTCTGTGCTGACAAAGTCTCCCATTCTCCACTGTCCTCCACTCCTTCTGTGCAAAGCTCATCCAGGAAGGGCAAAACTAATATATGAAGTCTCAATTCTCAACCTGGGTTTGTTCTGCTTAGAAAAATATGTCCAATTCCCATGGACCAAAGTGTGACATAGAAGCTTCTAAAGTCCACTGAGCCCCATGGTAGTTGCTTTTCTGTTTAATTTTGTTGTTTGTAATGATATTATATCCGATTCTCCGTTTTATTGTTTTTGTTTGGAGAGACAGCATCTACCTATGTAGCCCAAACTGGATTGTTCTAAACTGCCCCATTAATAATGACTGGGATTACTATTGTATGCCATGACCACCCTCTATGTCCTATTTGGGCAGCAGTGTCCTTGTCAAGGGGACCAATGTTCGACCTTCAGATAGTCTTGGATCCCAGCCACTGATGGTGTCACAGTAGGACTTGCCCCCACCCCCAAACTATTTTTTTTTTTGGTGATAATATAATTACAACATTTCTCCCTTTCTAAAATCCCTCAAAAGTCTCTCATATACCCTTCCTTTCTCTCTTTCAAATTTATGGTCTCTTTTGTTTATTAATTATTATTACATGCATATATATATATATATATATATATACATACATATGTATATATTCCTAAATATAACCTGCTTAGTCTGTATAATGTTACTCGTATGTACATTTTTTGGGCCTAACCATTTGGTGTTTGGTGAACAGTCAGTGTGCTCCTCCCTGGGGAAGACTTTTCTCCCACTCTCAGCATTTCTTGTCTGTATTTCTTTGTGTAGGGTTGAAGCCCCATGTGCTTTCTCCTGTCTACTTTGGCATGCCTATTGGTGACATCCTCTTTCAGCTCATGTTTAGGTTGTCATGTTGGTGAGACTTTTGGGTGTAGCTTAGTACTGGAAAGCTAACTGCTCAGTGCTAATGAAGTCATGGATATTGGAGGAGGACCTACAATTTAATTACATTAGCATAATCCCTAACAACAATCTATAAACAATTTGTCCTTGTACCCACAGATCAGTGTAATCTTTACCCTTCATTAAGGAGACATCTTCTTGTAACAGAAAGAGACCACTTACAGAAAACCACAACCAATGAAAATGTTGAGTTGTAGAACCTTGTTCCAATGGATACATCTACAAAACACTCCATCAAAGGCTCAGGGAACATTGTGGAAGGGGGCAGATAGATTGTAAGAGGCAGAGGATCAGGGAGTTTGCTGGGAGATCGTGTCTCCTCATACCACCAGCTCATTTCCGGTCGAATCCACTCTTGTACTGCGGGTGAGATCTGGAGGCTGGCACAGCTGCCTTGTCCTGACTGGATTGAAGTTGCCTGCTTCCCATGGTTGCCTTGAAGGTCTCTGTAAATGAGCTTTGGCAGGAGTGGAGGGAGAAGCGTCCTGCAGAACTAACCCTTTTAACTTTGCTCCCATAACCATCCTGACCTACTCCCCAGGTGTAGAATCTGTTAAGGCATCTGACTCCCAAGAGATGGGCATCTGAGAGGGACAGTTGTTCTCTCTCATCCCCAATGCCGGTAGTGCCCAACCAGTTGCTGCTCAAACCAGAAGGACGTGCAGTTCAGTATTTCTGACAACATGTGCATTTATTTGTATCAGAAGTACAAACGTAGGAATCCAAATACAAATACAGAGGGCAACCCAGCCGTGAGGCTCAGCTGGCTTCTGGCTGGGCTTGGCCCCGAGGGCTCGGCGGGGTCGCGACGTGCAAGGCAGGGCGCGGTGCCGCCGGGGTCGCCAAGGCACGTTGGGCACAAGGGCGCCCTCGCTTCACTAGGACACCACGAGATGCAGGGTACAGGGAGACATGTTTTATGGTGGAGAGGAGGGCCCTCGGGGACAGCAGAGCACCCAGGGCTCTTGAAAGTCACTGGTGAGGGGCCATCCTCTGACCCTGACCCTAGCTCTCTGTGGGGCCACCACTTGGGCAGGACAGGTCACCCCCCCTCCCAGCCAATCCTTTTTACACTCAACTCTTGCTCAGAACTGATGTTAAAATGCTGTAGGATTCTGGAATCAGCCCACGACAGGCTCCACAGGCTGTAAGGACTCCAAGAAGACAGAGTCGATCCCACATCTTTTTGTTTGGGACACAGCCCAGGACTATGAAAGTTTTCCTTCACAGAATCGCCCTGCGTACTGTGTGGCTGACTCTTAGACTTTGAAAGTTCAAGCCAGCCCCGATCCTACCTAGGTTTATTTGTGAACAGTTTCATGGCTTCTCAAATAAGCACTGCAACGTCCATGTATTATCTAAATATTGAGAAGTACTTTGACCTCATCAGATAAACCTGGCCACAGTACACAAATAATCAAGGCACCCAAGTAACTTGGTGGTGCTTACATGTTCTCCACATCAGCTTCGGGTCAGGCACCTCATCTTGATTTTTTTTTTTTAAAGGACATGATCTCCCATATTTTGGGAAAATACAATGATTGTCTCTTACTCTATCTGGGCCCCTCTCTCCCTTCCCCCTTCTTCCCCTGTTTCCTGTTAGCCTTAACCAGAGGCTCACTAAGCTAACATGCTATCACTAGGAAGCTGTGCTCCTAAGTGTTTCAACTAAATTTGGGGTGATGGGTAGAGTAACACACATATTAATAAGTTGTTCAGTTTTACCGCTGTACATACAAACACAAAAAACACACGTCACTGCATGTAAACACAAGCTACCCCATCACTTAAAACAAGATACAGATCAGTCCCTGAAAACTGTCACTCTTCTAGAGTCTTCCATGGAAAACACAAACAAGCAAAGCTTTGCTGAGTCCAGGAGCTGCTTATAAAGAAAACATGTATCTCTACACAAACATGTCAGTATGTAAACGTGGCTAGCTAGCACAATTGGCCATTGTGCCTTTTTGGGGTGTTTCCATCATTACTCTAAGCTGGAAAAAAGAGAGAAAACAATAGTAAACACTTCACTACTATATAGTTAAAGTGACTATAGTTAAAGAAAATGGCAACTTGAACGGCTGGGCGGTAACTCCTAGACCCAAATGACATGGATAGAAACAGAGTGGTGGTTTCTTTGGGCAACACAGCTTCCAAAGACGCAGCCACATTAGAAAAAAGACATAGTTCCTTGCCAATTAAAATGTTGTGTAGAAGGAAGTGGCTAAAAATATCAAATGAGGTAAAAATGAAAAGAAGGAAAGTAGTGAGGAAATAAGTGCTGGGTGGCATGCCTTCCTCAAGTGTTGGGAAATCCCTGAAGCAGGGTGGGTGGACTTCTGAGGAAAGAACAAACAATTTGGATTCTGAAATAGTATTAAAATTAAACTTTTAAAAAGCTTGTCATCATTTTTCTTAATATGTGACATAATTTCGTTGTAGCTTAGAAAAAACACCAAATCTTTGCACTGCATCAATAGCTACAGGCTAGAACATGGACAACAACCATGATGGATGTCATGACACACCCTTCCTTCATATCTGACGGACAAGTTGAAACTTCAGCCATCAAGGTTATGTGCATTTTCTGCTTTTAATCATGGGGAGAGTTTCTTAAGCTATTGTTTGTTCCTTATCCTTCTTCATTTTTATTTATAATTTCCAGGCCACCCTGAAAGTGCAAGGATATAATGATGTGGCCAGTTAACTGAATATCATCTGTGCCTGCCAAGGCTAGACAAAGGGTTGGGCAGTAGGGTCTTCCCAATGTGGAGTTGTGTGTGTTGAGGGACTTCACACAAAACATAAAATTGATAAAAATCCTCCCTGTTATAAACCTGAAAAATTCTTGATAAAAATCTGTTGCAGTAAATACTAGTTATTTCAAAGCCCTCATCAATTGTCCCTGACAATCCCAATCCCACAATGGGAAGACTTTTAGGATGTGTCTGGAGACTTTTCCCAGCAGATTCCTGTGAGTCAGGATACCAGCTTGACATTTAAGAAAGTGATGTAGGCAGGTCTGGGCTCCCACGACAATTGACAAGAAGGCTTATGATTGTCTATCCAGCCAGCTGTCCTGAAAGATTGTTTAGTTGGCACAGGCACATCCTTGCCAGAAGGATTCGCCTGCCTCTTCCAGGCAGCAGACTTATACATTAAGTACTGAGCCTGTTCTGGGAGAAAACCAGAAGGTGGACCTATGTCACCTTTGCGTCAGCCATGTGTGACCTTTCTAGCTTCCACAGTGATTCTCACAATGTTCATAAAGCTATAGTGAAGGGTCAAAGGTCTTTTTGCCTAAAGTGATTTGGGGGTTCACTATATAAAGTCCTATGCATTAAAAAACGATCAGTGGTAAATGGGAAATTTCTTTTGTGAATGGAAGCTAGTAATGATATCATAATTTTGAGCTGTCTGTTATTCCAGGGACTGAAATAGCCATGTTGTAAGCACCTGATCTAAGAAATGCATATTTAAGAAAATGACCATTGGCTTTGTTATGTACACTTACTGAGATGGTACTTTAGTGGGCAGGGCAACCAGGAGACATCTGGATCTAAGTCTGTTATAGGAAATGTAAACATTACAGTCACTCCTCCAAATTTGTAGGGGACTGGTCCCAGGCCACCTCAAGATAACAGAACCCTCAGTTGCACAATCCTTTGAATAAAGTGGTACATGATATGCATACATAGACACTATGCACATTCTTCCCTATACATTCAGTCACCATGAGGTGGCTTACACTGCTTAAGACAATATAAATTCTACGTCAGCCTCTGTTACTCTGTTATATTTAGGGAAATAATGACAAGAAGAAATGCCTGCCCTTGCTAGGTATAGAGACAAAAGTGTTTGATATTCTTGAAAGCGGTTGAAATCACAGATTCAGAATACATGGGTACAGAAGGCAGACTGCACTTGTTTGCAAAAATACAAAGAAGCATCTTTAAATATTTAGAAAAGAACAAAACAAAGCAGGGACCAGCTCAGTTTGGGAGGTTTGTTGTTGAAAGCCATTTTCTCCCAACCTGTTCAGTTTAAACTATCCAGCAGACAGAGAGCCTTTCTTCCCCACAGTAACCATTCTTGATTCACCCTGTGCAGCCTGTTTCCTGGGCCAGGACAACCCTGTACTGTTTACAGATGTGAAAAATGAAGTGGTAAAGTAGTCTTAACTTTGGTCTTAACTGACTAGACCAAACAAAACCGTTTACATTTGCCTCAATTACCATATATAACATTTTCTAGCTTCCTTTTAACTGTAGCTTCTAGTCAAAGCAACATTCAAACTTTCCTTACTTTGGGTGTGGTGTCGTGTGTGTGTGTGTGTGTGTGTGTGTGTGTGTGTGTGTGTGTGTGTGTGTGTGTGTGAATATTTACTAGCTCACATAACATAATGTAAAAAAAAAAAAAAAGATCCTGGTTAACTCAATGCATGGGAAACTTTTGAACGACCAATAAGAGTTCAATTCAGATTTTAGCACTGATTTATGTAAGCTGGTTTAAGACTGGGATTTTATTGCAGGAGAAGTAACAAGGAGGTTTCAGAAACATCTTACTGGGAATATTTGAACCACCAAAGCATCATTCAACTAAAAGACATCCTGGAAGCAAATAAACAGAAACGTCTTCTTTTTTAACCTTAACGGAATCAGAAAAAGCTTTTTACCATGGGGTTATTATCTTATAAGCTGGAGAAATTTTAAAAGGGGGAAGCAGGAACATCCTAACTTCAAGGCTTCAAAACCATAATGTAGTTAAAAAAATAAAGCAAATTCTTGTTCTGGGACTTGTTAGCTGTTACCTTCTCATCTCAAGTCACAGGTCTTTCCTCCTCTGCATTAAGTTAGAATCTATGTTTGCAATGGAAGGTAAGACAATGAGGGATCAGAGATGGGCTTGTCCATGCTGAGAGCTTCATCAGCATTCAGTTCTTGGGCCATGCTTCCATGGAGAGCATGGATTCCTGGTACTGCATACCCTTAGACCCAATGTTCACTATGGGGCATTTGTAGCCATTTGAAGGGAGCTCAGGGAAAACTGTGAATAAGACACTTGCTGTGTTAGCATTCTATTTCTTTCCTTCCCATTTCCCAACATTTTTCCATATACTTGTGTTCTAAAGCTCCAAATCAACAATCTATCAGTATAAATGGAACTCAACATTGCAATTTATACTTAGTTATTTACTATGTTTATCTCTAGTCATTTTACTTTTTTAATATAGAAACTCATGTGTTTTTGAATTCTAAAAGAAAATAAAATACTTAAAAACAGTTGCCAAACCACAAACAGATTCAAAATGCTTGGTGCCTCAAGGGCACTAAAATGATAGAATGCAATAATGGCATCTGGGACCAGCTTCGATTCTTCAAGTTTCAAATAAAAATTTCAGTTTGGTATCTGAGATCAAAATGACCAAGGAGGCAGAGGTGTTGTTTTGTTTTGTTTCCTAGCCCTTTGGATTGAGTGGACCACTGCTTCCTAGTGGGGTTAAGACAAATTGATGTGAAATGGGATTCCTGGTCCCTTGCATCTATCGATTTCAGATGTGGTGTCATTTAGAGCTACAACACACATCTAAACATCTCTCACTGCAGCAGCTTATTACCAGGTCAAATAGTCTGGAACAGTGCAGTTCTGTGGACACTTACCCTCAGGTTCCCACATGGAACATTGAAATGGCTTGTGGTTAAGGACAAGCATTTCCATGTTCGAAGAATCCATAAAGGTTTGCAATTAACTCAGCAAAAGTGAAGATGCCTGGTTGTCATATAAAGAAATGAAATCCTATTTTCATCCATGCATTTAAAAAAAAACAGTAAAATTTAGTATGACATACAGGTTACTGCAAGAAATGGAAACTTCTGGAAAATGGAAAAACTGGGGGCTTAACTTTCATTTTAAGGCATATGTTGGGTAAACTGGGGGCAGTGTTGGCTGGGTCTATAGTAAATTTATTAGCACTGTCTTCCACCCTACATCAGGGACACCCATGGGGAAACTGTCTAGGCTTTGAAGAGATGTTTTGCTTTAATTCAACTGGTATATAAAATATCTTTAGTTTTCCCCCATCCTCCAGGATGTAGTTTAATGGAGACAGTCACAGTTTTCAGTGTGATCCACAGTGGTCGGAAATCTGGAACCTCTGTTCAAACAGTCTACTCATTTGGAGTGCTTCTAAGAGGGAGGGGCATAGTAGCACCTTTGAAATGCAGGGTGTTCAGACCACTACCCAAGCATCCCACAGCTCTACATGCAAAAAAACAAACACAAAAACAAAAACCCAAAACCAAAACCAAAACAAAAACAAAAACAGAGTAGGATGGGACAGAGTACAGCAGGCTTGAGCTTGTGTGCCACACACATGCCCCTCTTCATCAAGTAAGGAGAACTGGGGTCTAAGGAGGGGATGCATTTCTCACTCTCCTCCTGGTGCACCAGACTCTCCTCAAAGTTCATGCTTTAAAGCCCCAGGCTTTGCCCCTGAGCAATGGGCAGACATCTCTCCTGTTTCATGAAACAGAATGGTTTATCCTGGAGAGTCAGACTGACATAGATGATTGAATTTTACTGAGAAACTGGCACTGCATGCTCCCAGAACATGTGCTGGTTTTCAGTGTTTTAATCACCCTGTCCAAGGTTGGGCAGGAGACGATGATGACTGGCTACCGGTATGGACGTCTTGCATGTAAGAGTCTCACTATTGAGAAGTTTTGAGCACAGAGGCAAAACTATGGAGTTGTTCTAAGGTAGCAGGGAGTCAGTTCTGCTACGGAACTCCTTGTAGGTTTTAGTCCTTGGGAAAAGAAAATTACTAGAAAATTTAGTTTTGTCCAGAACTTTTGAAATGTAACAGGCTAAAGATTCTGATTGGAAATTCTAAATGTCTAGTGTTTGCAATCGTACGTGTTGCTTTCTCTTTGACTTCAGTGCTGTGGGTACCTCTAGAGCAGGCCTGTCAAAGGTGGGAGTTTCAGAGATACTAGTGTACTATATGAAAAACTGCCCCCAACAGAGGAGACATTTAATTTAAGCCACTCTCTTCAGCTTATTCTCCACAAGCATTTATTATTTAAATTTTTAAATTGAATTTTCTAACTAGAGGCCAAATGGCTTAGGTAGTAACTATCAAACTAGTTTGTTAGTTGAAACTCAGGAGAAAACACTGGATATCTCTCACACATAGACAGCCATTATTACCCTTCCAACTGAGCAGCTGTACCTATTTCCACACTCACTTCATGTGCAACAGTATTAGAAAGAATTAGCAAAAATGTGTAGTTTCAGTTTTTCTGGTCTCTCCCATAGCCATCTCCATTTCCAAAATACATCTAAATAGCTGGGGGAAGTCAGCACTTTTATATATTCTATTTGTATAATGTTTTACTTTTTCTATGTCATCATACAGTATATATAATAGAAATGGAAAACTGAATGACTTTCAATAAAGTTAATTCAGCTTTGTGAAAGCAAAGCACATAGGGATTCTATAGTGAATGCTGTAATAACGCCAAGATACTGACTGCTGAGGAGTGCCAAGGTCTGCTTGTCCCCAACAGAGGATACTTCAAAAGGGTCACAGACCTCAAGTGTGCAAGAGCATCTGGTTATAGCAAAGAACTAATATCAAGAAGCAAATTTGTGTTATAAAAATATCAAAAGAGAAATGATTTTTTTGTGGGGGGAGAGTTCTTTGGGATTTTGCTATGTGTCCATATTTCAAAGTATAAAATAATTTTTGCTCATCAAAATGTATAATTGAAGATAACCATTACCCATGTTTTTTTTTTGCATCTAATGTTGGTTTGGCTTGAATGTTAAAGTTCATGATTAAATACTTGTCTACATTATTTCACACTCTGGAATACAGTTTCAAAACAAAGGCCTATCCATATTGCATGTCTTTAGAGGATGAAGACGGTTACTGAACCCCTAACAATAATATAAGCTACACTCTTCATTTGAGACTGAGACTTGGTCCTGTAAAACACAGTTCTTACAGAAATGCTGAATTGAAACCCAACTGGTCCAGGTACCCAGTATACAAATACTGATGTAAGAAAGTTACTACTTTGTAAGATTTAGAGACAAGTAGCAGTGTGGTCTCAGCAACAAGTTTTAAAAGTCACATTTTTTTCCCCACAGATGGAAACTTGTGGCTGATACATATGAGCACCTCCCAGGCAGGCAGGAAGGGTGCCAGGAAGAGGGGAGCTAGCTACGCACAGCAGTGCCTGAGCAAACGGACCTCACAGAAGGGACCGAGGCTGACTGTGGTTCAAGCTGGATCTCGGAGTGAGGTCAGCTCGAGAGCATCTCCACTAAGGAGATGCTGGACCCACAGGCACTCATGCCAAGGAGCACAAAGGGAAGATACATGAGGGTGAGGGCCTGAGAGAACCTCTGGATAGTTGTTTGCATGTTTTACAGGTGTCTTTGCATGGTAACTGGCAGCTTCTAGTATCCAAGGCCATTCATAAATACCAAACTACAGGTTGAAGAGGGGGTTAGCAAGAATATCACTTTAGAATGCAATTGGTGTGTGTGTGTGTGTGTGTGTGTGTGTGTGTGTGTGTGTGTGTGTGTGTGAAATATTTATAAGGAATACTTTCCAGGTACTTCCCATGCTGCTGAAAGGTAACATAACAAACTCGAGTAGTGTCCTTCCCTGCTACTTTTTTGGTTGGTCACTACTTGTCTGGGGATTGGGGAAGGGAAAACATAAATCAAGTACTCTTCAGTCATCCTTCAGAGCAGCACTTAAAGATACAGGTATCCAACCCAATAAACCAGGTTGAACAGCAGGAAGGATGTTGGGAAGAAGACCCGGGAGTATGAGTCCAGCTCTGAGACATCGATGTGGATACGGCCTCTCCTCCAAGAGCCCGACTTGCACTCTTCATAACAGCAGAAGAAGCTCTGGCAGTCTTTGCCATCCAGACACTCATAGACACAGGTGTCCTCGAACTCCTGCCAGTACATGGAATTGTTTAACGTGATCATCACGGGTGGTGGAGGCCTCATATCCAGGAGAGAATAGTTCTGCGGGCACAAGAATAGCACAGAAGTCATGAAATGCAGGTAAGAACAGCCTGAGGAGCATTGAGCTACAGGGACATCTTACATCTGCTACCAGAGAAGAGGGATGCAGGCCATGCTTAGCCCACACTTACCCAGCCCTGGGCACTGCCTGTTCTTTGCACCATGGCAGCTCAGTGAACAAGGAAAACCAGGTTGCAGTTTTAAAACTTTATGCCCTAGATTTTGCATGAAAGGAGAGCCACACATTTTCCAAATGTGTTAACGATTTCAAGTCTCAATTCTCTTACTTTGTAACAAATATGTACACACCATAGATTCATTCCTTCAATTATAAAACACATGGATATTAAAGCATGGGAAGATAAATATGGCACCTATTCTGATTAGCAAACAGTAACAGGTGTTATGTGCTGAAATTGTGAGAGAGCACTGTTACTGTATGTAATCCAGGCAAAGAGAGCCTGAACTTATGTGGCTGGAATGCTCTCTATTCCCAAGCTGCCCTCCTGCCTTGGAAAAGGCAATATGGGAGGAAAAGGGAGAGTTAAACATTTACTGTTCTTGCAGAACTGGAAGGAATCATCCAGCTTGAGAAGAGGCTTCCAATGGAACCCCCAGGTTTTCAGACAGCTGTCAACCCCTCAAGAGCTATTAACCACACTCTACACTGAGTTCCATTAGGGAGAGGCACTTTTAAATCTGACTAAATAGTGGAAGGTAAGTGGGAGGATTTACCTTTCTGATTTGCCTGTCTGTTTTTGTTTTTTTAAGAAATGCTCTTCTTAAAAAAATAGACTAGCACCATAATATCAGACATGAGAAGCCCCCTTTTGAGTTACTGAGCAGGTTAAGAGACCACCAAAGCATACAGTCTATTACTATTGATTTTGTTACCCACAAGAGCTGGAAGATAAATCTGAAGACACTGCTGAAGACACAGTGTACTTCAGACACAGGATCCAGAGGCTCCTGAGTGGGAACTGATCTGAAAGCCTTATCCCTGTGGACCAGCTTTTACGATACCAGAAGGTTCCAGTTGAGCTTCCAAAGGGGGAAGTAACCATCAGTTCCACACAGCTATAATGCCTATGAACCACAAATATGGCCAACATGGCATGATAACCCTAATGGTGCAGTGGTGTCACACTTCGGTGAACTTAAGTTCTGCTCAATGAAAGGGAAACCATGTCTGGTACTGGAAACCTGGCCAGTTACCCAGGGCTAGTGAAGTCATGGATCTTGGAGGAGGACCTACACCCATCAGTTTATTAAACTAGCACAATCCTTAACAATATTCTAAATATTTGTCCTTGGACCCGCAAGTCAGTGTACTTTTCATTCCTCATCAAGGAAACTTCTCTTTGCAACAGATGAAGCCAATACAGAAAACCACAACCAATCAAGATGCAGAGTCATGGAGCCTAAAACAGATACATCTATAAAACAACTCCTGCATCAAAGACTTGGGGATCCTTGTAAAGGAGGAGGGCAGAAAGAATGTAAAAGCCAGAGGATCAGGGAGTTTGCTGTGAGATTGTGTCTCCTAGTACTCAGACTCTACACCCATAAAGTCTCACCAACATGACTGCCCAAATGTGAGGTGAACAACGCCATCACCAGTAGACATGCCAAAGAGAATGGTGGGAGGCTGTGAGGCTGCAACGCTACACAAAGAACTACTGGCAAATAAGGAATTCTGAGAGTGGAAGAAATAGTTTTCTTCAGATAAGAGCACACCAATTGATTATCCGATGCCAATGGTCAGCCCTGAAATCATACATACAAGTAACGTGATACAGACTGAGGAGGTTATATTTAGGAATATACATGTGTATACATACATATATATACATACACATACATACACACACACACACACACACACACACACACACACACACACACACACATATATATATATATAATGCTGGAACCACAATTAATGATAAAAGAAACCATGAATTTGAAGAAGGGAAATGGGTATATGGGGAGAACTTGGAAGAAGGAAGGGGAAGGGAAAATAATGTAATTATATTATAGTCTAAACATTAAAAAGACTAGTCTGGAGTGGAACTTATTGTGTATCCCAGACTGACCTTCCTGCCTTACTCTCCTCAGATCACAGGCCTGTACCACCACATCCAGCTCTAGAAGCCCATTTCTGAGCTGGATGGTAGGTGGTGGTTCCTTCCTTTGGCTATGGTTGCCACAGTGCTGAGAATGAGGTCATTCTGAATTATTAGAGTCTGCGTCAGGCCATATAGAATGCACTCATCCTTTTCAGAGTCCTTAGAAATGTTCCTTACAGAGGCACTGTCACACTTGTCTGTGCTTAGGGAATTTAATTTGGATGGCTAGAGTTGTGACTATGAAGCATTACAAATGGAACAAAAAGGACAGAGTGTTGAATATTCAAAGTTATTCCATGAAGCCCTCTGGGTCCTTGCACATGGAAACATGTCTGTACCTGTATGTTGGGGAGAGTCCAGCTGGAGGCAGGATGCTTTGTACCCAGTTCACTGGGAGCCTTCAGAGCACTGCTATGGAGCAGCTTCCACAGCTCTGGCGCATAAGCAGAGATGGAAGACTTGCTATGGCCAGCTCTGGTGAGGATGTACACCATCTAGCCTCTTGATTCTGAAGGCCAAGTGTATATCAAAACCACCTGTAATAATCTCTGCAATTATTCAGTGTATTTGTGGAACATATGCCTTTCTTACAAGCTCCATTTGGGAAAGTCTATCTTTATTAGACAATAACACTATTAAAAGTTGTCTTACTTGTGTGCTTTGGCATTTTTCAGACAGGCATTTATCTACTCAGTTCTTCAGCCCTATATATCACGTAGTCCCTCAGTAATGGTATGAATGTGGGCTGTGGAAGAGGAGACACTGGACCTTGAGGGAAGACACTGAGCCAGGCTGGGCACCAGAGATGTTTCCAGGGATAGAGACAAACCACCAGAGATGGTGACTTTGGGGGATACAGGAAAAGCAGCAGGGAAGGTTCTTGGGGCATGAGAAATCTGTATTTCTTGTTATATTTAGGGAAGTGAAGGTCTGGGTTGCTGAGACCCAGTAGAAACCCTGTGCAGTAGTCAGGAGAGCTCCAGGACTTGACAGCGTGGGAATCTGAAATGAGTTCCGCTCCACAAGACTGAACTAGAACTTAGGATGTGACCAGGCCTCCACGGCTGTATTGTGTACTGTGTAAGCACTTTTCTCGATGTACCTGCACATTTTCTCAGACATTTCAAACTATGCCGGAAGAGATTTAACAGATACTTCTCTCAGTGTCATCTTTGGCCCAGCCAGTGTCTGACTCCCACCTCTTTCGCCATGCATATGACACAGGCTCAAGCCCCCCAAGGAACACTGGTTTCCAAGTCCTGTGAAGGGCATTAATCTGGCATTTAACAAGTTATGGAACTGAGGCACCGGGCAGTAAGCAACTTGTCTCAACCATATACGTGTTCCTGGTTCTGTCCTTATTCCTTGGAGACTCCTCATTTGGGATTTATTATTTCTGGGAGAGAAACAAAATAAGAGTTGAACTGGTGATACTTCTACCCAATGAGTAAATGCTCTCCCCTCCCCTTCACCCCCTGTGACTGTACAAGCCTTAGTTGGATGTCAACATTAGTGTGCCTTCTTAGCGCAGTGGCACCTTTTGTTGGGAGTTGTCCTTATACCTTCTTTTAGATCATTAACCTTTCCTTTTTGTTCACAGTTTTCTTTTGTGGGGGAGATTTCTCCTGTTATGTGTTAAAGATTTTTTCCCCTTTTTCTTGGCAGAATCATTTCTACACCAAAGACATCAATATTTCCCCTCAACACTCTGGCTTCTGGCTGTGTGTGAAGATGTGCTCATGGGGCCTCAGGCTATTAGCTCTGATTGGCGTCTGTCACCCTGCACCTCACTTCTCCATGGCTTTCTCTAACACCCATCTGCTGCTGGCTGCTCAGGGCTGATAAGATGCTTGCCCACTACTCTTCTGACAAAACCCCCACGAGACATATTTGTAGAGGAAAGATTATATATTTTTTCTTCATAAAAATAGTTGATATGTACAAAATACAAGGCATTGTTAAGATCCAGGAGCCAGCCATGATGTATAGCTGGCATAAAACATTCAGTGTAATTAGTAAGTGGATATAAGTCAAGGAATGAGAGTCATGATTCCACACAAATGGTGCATGACAAAAGTGGTACTGAGATCAGTGATTTAAAATGACATTTCTATGTTTTCATTCCAGTTTCCTTCTTATTAGCATCCATAGGGGTTGATTTTCTACACTCAGTTTCACTTGTTGTGAGCACAGAAAGAGTTGATATTTAGACATATATTACCTCAGAAGTACTCAAAAGAAAGGGACGGAGTCATGTTATTTGTGGGGAAAGAGGATGTATGAGCAGGGTGTTCGGGCTAGAAACCAGAGGGGGAAGTGGGGGAAAGAAAAGAAAAGAAAAAATAGTTCATGGCAGTGAAGTAAAAACTAGAATAAACATCACATCACAAGCTGAAGGCCATTGTCCTCAATAGATTTGATAGGTAACTATAGGCGTTTCAGATGTCTATAAAATGTGACATACATGACAATTAACATAAAGACCTGGAAGACTGCTACCTAAAATATTAAAAGAAGTTTGGGCTGGAGAGATGGCTCAGCAAACATCATTTAGTTTCTTAGTGTGTGTGAATACATAGAACTTGGATGTTACATTCCAGCTAGAAGCATGCATACCTCATCAAGGTCTCCATGTAGAAAGGTTAGGATATTTCCCCTACTGTGCAAGAGTTCTAATTTGGTTGTTTATAGTAATTTAAAAAAAAAAACATTTTTAGTGGATCAAATGCAGCACTCATTTGAACTCAATGCACATATTTACGAAGAACGTATCTTTCAATGCAAGCTTAGTTTAGTCAGAATTCCCAGAAATATTGGCATCTGTAAATCTGTACATACAGAGGGTGCTTGTAGGCTTATTCGATCAGGAATCCATCTTGTGGAATCTGGATGTAATAACTGCAGAGAAAAAAAAAAGAAAGCAGAGTTGAAAAGTGGCCACAGAACTCTGCAGTCTTGAAGGTAATCCCACCCCTAGCCCTGTCAACAGTAGGCACTGACACTGGAGAAGTGAGAGGCATCTCCATCCTATTGCCCCATCTGTAATTTTATCTCAATTTCTAAGATCCTTAAGGACATAACAGCATTTCAGCACACATTTACCATACACTGCCCCCTGCCACATCTGAGAAAACCTTGGTGACCCCAGCCACTCACCGATGTCTTCTTCTTCCTGATGGTTGGCTTGCGACAGCTGGAGTAGTAGTTGAGGGTGGCGTACTCCATCAGCGCGGCGAAGACAAACAAGAAGCACACAGTCACAAAGAGGTCCATGGCAGTGACGTAGGATACCCGAGGCAGGGACTTCCTGGCAATGGTGCTGAGTGTGGTCATGGTTAGCACTGTGGTGATGCCTGCAGAGGGGATAGTTGTCAGCATTGGAGGACAGCATGCCAGACCAGAAGGCCCAAAGTGATGCAAATTAAGAAACAAGTAGCGTTTGAGTTTTGACTCTGAGTGCTGTCCCAGGCAGATGATATGCGGCACTTGCCCCATGATACTTGGTTGTGGTAGACCAGCCCATGGTCAGCTGCAGTCAGGAGGGGAGCAACCAGCACCACAATGTGCTATGTGAGTTGGAGGGTGAGGAGGTGAGGCATGTTCAGTGCATTTCCCAATTGCATTCAAAACTTCTGAAGGTTATGGGAACATAATACAATTCTGCATCAAGGAATGAAGTGTGACCCTAATTAGTCTTAATAATAAAAATCCAGAGTCAGATAATGAGGGTGAATGCTGACAGATCAGAGAAGCAGAGCAGCCAGCCACCAAAGACTTCTTACCTCTACAAAATCTCAGACTGAATGGAGGCAAGATCTTGTCTCTATGAGCCCCCTGTATTCCTGTCTCCACCTCCCCAGTGCTGGGGTTAAAGGAGTGAGCCTCCCATGCCTGGCCTCTATGGATAACTAGTGGCTAACTCTACCCTCTGATCTCCAGGCAGGCTTTATTTGTCAGAACACAAACAAAATATCACACACCAAAGGAACACATGTAAGATAGATTTCAGTAATTCACTGTTTGGCATTTTACCTTTTAAATGTTTTTAGATGAAGATGCAGCCTCTGACCTCCTGTATATCCTGTGCTGTTCTGCACTCCATGTTTGTCTCCTGTTTCATGCTTTCTGCCTGCTCTGTAAACTCCTGCCCTTCTTTTTTAATTTAAACTTATTAATTAATTTTTTTTCACTTGACATACCAACCATATATTCCCCTCTTATTCCTCTTCCCGCTCCTCTCCAGCCTCCCCTCCACCCCCATCCCCTCCTCCAACAGGATAAGGCCTCCCTTGGGGAGTCAGCAAAGCCTGTCCATTCAGTTGGGGCTGAACTCCTGCCCTTCTATACTCTGTCCCAGCATCACTCTTCATGAGATGCCTTACCTGAAAACACCCATGGACAAGTTTCCACATTTTCCACTCTTAATTTCTCTGTTGTAATTGTTGTGTTTTGGTAGTTCATACCACACAGTTATTAGTGTTTAGAACACATGAACAAGTTTCATTTGTTCAGTTTGTCTTCTTGTGTCTTATTTTCCTTCCTGCTGCTCTGTAAGTGACCTCAACCATTTGTAAAATTCCTTCTTGATTTTCTTTTCAGATTTTTAAGGCCCTTGTTGGCACCTGCAGTTACTATGATGTCTTTGAGTGCACATCGCTCTGTTAGAATGTCAAGGGTCCTCCAACTAGTGTGGACACAGGATTTATCCCCATTTCAACAAAATATAGACAAATTATTCTTCTTTAACTTTCTATGGTTATAATAGAGTTGTCCTAAACATTTCCTTTAAATAGTTAAGGCTTATGTCAGGCTACATTATATTCTCAATGGTTGTAGAATTCAGGTTGAGAGTGTTTCCTTTGTGCCTCTATGGCTTCAATAAGGGTTCACTGTCATTCAGCCTGTGATGCCCTGTAGGAAGGATCATGTCTTTTTCCTCTATTACTTTCAAGGATTTTTCCATTTTTTGAGTTTGGTTATAATCCATTTTAGCATGAAATTCTTTGGCTTTACCTTGTTTAGAATTTACTTAGCGTCATAAATATGCATTTATCTGCTTTCTGAAAAACTGAAGAAATATTTAGCCACTATTTCTTTGAATAATTTTTCAGCATTATCAGTTTCTTCTGGGACATCTATGACAGAAATATTAGATTTTATTCCTTGGTATTTCACAAGCCCTAGGGTCAATGTGTTTCATATTTCTTCACTCTATTTTCTCTCCCTGTGGCACAAATTTTTCTTGATTTACACTAAAGTCCACAGATCTTCTCCCCTGGCATGCTCCATTTGGTGAGTTATTTCTTTTAGTGGAGTATTTCCTGTTCTAAAAGTATATTTGGTTCTCCACTGCACTGATGCGGTCTTGCGGAGCTGTACTCCTGTTTTAATTTACCTCAAGTGTGCTCATCAAGGAGTGTTTGTGCTGCTATTTCAGAAGCCGGTTCAGATAACGTTAACATCTCTGCCACCACCAAATACGGATGCTTTATGGTATAATCTGTGACTTTTGATTGTATTTTGGGTATTTGGGGAATTAGCTTCTGTGATTAAAAATATTCTACAATAATTAAAAGTTGTCATAATTATAACATATTTTGTCAGAAACCATTAATACAAAAACTCTTCATACAGTGAAAACTTCTCCTAGCCCCATAAAATTTAACCAAAGATAAATGGGAAGGAATTTGTACTGAAGAAAACACCATCATTATATATAACCAGTAAATTTTCATGGTAGTGGATCTTGTCCAATAATATGAAGTACATATTTGTTCAAGTATATTTTGTGTCCCCAAATTCCTGTTTTCTTCATTAAAACTTTTTGTTTTTTGAGAATTTTTTATGTAATCCAATATTAAATTCCTAAGTTTTCTTCTAGAAATTGCACACTTTTGACTTTACACTCTAAGTGTGTTCCATGTAAAACTAATTTTTGTGTATGTAGAGTCTGTGCCAGATTTACTAGCTGCAAGGTTCTTTACCATCAAGCAGAGACATAACTCATTAGTTCAGTTTCTTGTCACTGTGATTAAATATCTGGCTCACACAACTTAAGGGTATAGGGAATATTAATATGTCATGGCAGAAATGGTGTGGCAGCGGGAGCTAGGCTCGTGAAGGTGGGAACTTGTTACATGGTCCGTTCACACCTTAGCAGACGAGGAAGCAGGGAGCTCTGTGAAGCTAGGCTAAGCTAGGTTTACCCCTCCAACACCTGCCCTAGCTAAGACTCATGCCCAAAAGTCTTTGAACTTCCCCAATAGCACTGCCCTCTGGACATTAGACCCAGTAGGGACCTTTCACAATGGAATCACAACAGGAAGCATGTTGTAGAGTTCCTTATGTGGACACTGAACATGAAACAGAGAACGAGGCTGGATCTAGAGTTGGGTGTAGCCTTCAGAGGCCCATTACTGGCAACCTAGCAGTCAGACCTCTCCTACTAAAGGTTCCATGACAGTAGCACCAAAGAGAGAACTCTTAAATCGTGGTTCACAGGCAGCATTTCAGATTCAATCCACAGCACATGGAGAGCATTGTTATCTATATAATATATATTATGTGTGTATGTGTACTATATTTTGCTGGGTTTTATGTTTTTATTTGATTACTTGTGATGGTTTGCATCAGAACGGGCCCAATAGCTCATATGTTTGAATACTTGGCTCCCAGTTGGTGGAACTTTTGGGGAAGGATTAGGAAGGATGGCCTTGCTGGAAGAGGTGTGTTACTAGAGGCAGTCTTTGAGGTTTCAAAAGCCCATGCTATTCCCAGTTAGCTCTCTCTGCCTCATGCTTATGAATCAGGATGTAAGCTCTCATATACTCACTAAATTGCCTAGACTTCTCCTGAACTCATCTATAGCCCAGTCTAGTCTTGAACTTATAATTCTTCTGCCACTGTGGGAATTATAGGTCTATGCTTCCAGGCTTGGCTGAGGACCCAATTTTTTCATATTAATTATTTGATATAATTAATTTACATTATTTATTTAACAAACCCACAAACACATTATTTATAAATATTCCATTACTAGTACAAATTTTGTAATGTTTGTCATCTTAAATTATGGTAAGATGTGTGTGGATGCCTTAGAAATATTTATAAGTAAATGTTAGTTGTTGTTTATCATAAACATAAATGCCTCTTGGTCCTTTAAAATAATATAGAACAAATGTGGGCAAGTCTTAGTGATTAAAAGTTAGAATCATTTTTTAAAATGTGTATTTAAGTGATTAATTTAGGCCATAGCAAATTAAACATTTACTTAAAAAACTATTACGAATCGATGTAACATGTTTTCTATACATGCTATAGATAAATAGATATACACAGGGGAAGCATATATTCTAGAGAATTAAAAAGACAAATAGAGTATGACATCAGATTCCTCATCTAGCAGGATCTTTGGGTTTTTTTTTCATTTTTTAAAAATTTTCTTTTTATTTATTCTTTGTGTCTTTCACATCATGCATCTTGATCCCATTCATCTCCTCATCTCCCCGTCCCTTTGTATCCACCCTCTGCCCTTGCAACCTCCCCCACAAAATAAAATAAAATAAAATTTAAGTGAGGAGAGAGAAAAAAAAAGGAAAAATCTCCCCATGGAACCTGTAGTCACACAGTGTACCATTTAATCCATACATCTTTACTTTCAAGTGTTCATTGCAAAGAGTCATTGGTGTGGTTTGAGGCCCCAGTTCCGCAACACTATCTTTGCTAGGCCCTCACTGGGACTCCTCTTGGTTATTCTGCTGTTGTCCTATGTTGTGGAAATCCTGCAGCTTTGAGTCCATAGGACCAGCCCCTTCACGTGTTCCAGCAGATCATAGATGGGGTGGGCCAACTCATAACCCTGGCTTGGGCCTGGGTAGTTGGCAGGGTTGTTCAGCCCACCAGCTCTACCCCATCCCTACCACTAGGTGAGCTCTCCAGCGTTGCCAGGGCTAGTTCACTCTATGAGCAAGGAGCAAGGGGTGGGATCACATCTGTTTTCATGCCCTCAGGGCCCGCTCACCCACATCTACCCCACAACCATCAGGGCCAGCTCTACTGTGTTGCCTAGAGGAGGTGCATGAGTCACTCTCCCAAGAGCTGAAGATGGTGAGGGGCAGGAACAGCTCTCCCACACTTAGGACCTCAGGAGCAGCTCTCTCCCGACTGCCAAAAATGGTTGCAGTGGTGGTGGGGGGAATGTTTCCCTCACTCAAGACACCATATGGCAGATGAGGGGTGGGGCCAGAGCTCCCATGCTCATGTTCTCAGAGCTGAGCTCACCAAGTAAACAGGGTCAGCTCTACTGTGATGCCCAGGCAGGGTACGGGGGCAGCCTTCCTGAGTGCTGCAGCTGGTAAGAGGGGTGGTCAGCTCCTTCACCTGCAGCAGGTGCTGAGGGGAAAGGGTCAAGGGGGGGGGGTATCTCCCCTTTGCCCATGCTGCCACATGACAGACAAGTAATGGGGCCAGCTTTCCCACACACCCTTGGAGCTGGCTCATCCATACCCCCCCCCCCCCCGAGCTGCCAAGGTACAGTGCAGGGCCTAGCAGGATCTTCAAATTAGTCAATTTCATGCTTTCAATCAGATATGGGACCATGACAGAATTTGTCATGTAGTAGAGTCTCAAAAAAAATAATTTAATGTCTTCGGAAGATGTAAATACTTTATCCTGTTATTTTAAACTGTGACAGTTTGCAAATATGAATGGTAGATGCTCATGATAAGTTTAGACGTGCTCTTATCCAGAGAGCTTGGTCATGGTGTGAAACTCTTGCTCTTGGGCTCTGAATTTCCAAAACCTTCAAAGACAAATTAGGAAGTAGAGTGTGTCTGAGGCCTGAAGCAGGCTTCACAGTTTACACTGGCACTGTGGAAGCAAATCTGAAAGTCTGCTTTAGAGACAGGCTGGAGGGACAGTTAGGAGCATGTGCACTAAGACTCCAAATTGGATCAGATTGGGTCCTGTGGCCAAAATAAACCACAATTCACTGAACAAATAGCTGTTACAATGTGACAGCTGACAGCTGAGGGCAATACACCCTTTGTGGACACTGAGGATGCCTTCTACTAGACAGCACCATTACCGTTGCAACTAGGAATTCTGATAACTAGGCGATCTGTGAATATTAGTCACTTACATGACAGACCTTTATCCCCCATGCCATAGCCTAAAACAGTTGGGCTGGCAGATTCTGTTCCATACACCGTGGCCCCTGTCTCTTTAGCTAATGCACCAAATCTTGTTCCTTACATGGAGCCCGTTCTAAGAGACAACAGAAACAAGAAGCTTCTCTAATAGTGAAGCAGTAATGAGGATTTGAACAATTACATTCTAACAAGTGAATTTTATAAAAATTAAATATTTGAAGCCTCCTTGGAAGAAGACTGCCTATTCTTCTGATGCATACTTTGATTGAATAAAATGTATTAAGAAAGAGAGAGAGAGGAGAGAGAGAGAAAGAGAGAGAGAGGGGAGAGAGAGAGAGAGAGAGAGAGAGAGAGAGAGAGAGAGAGAGAGAGAGAGAGAGAGAGAGAACTAACTTGGATACTGAGAAAAATTCTAAGCCTTGTTCACATAGCTCTTAAATTAACTCTATTTGAATTCTCTTTAGTTGAAGGCATTTTTGTGAATGTTTCTGTATTAAAACTGCACAAAATGGTGGATGAGATTTTGCAACTTACCTAATGTTGTTCTTGCTGGTGTCGCATCTTTTTTTATCCAAAACGATACCCAGGACAGAACCACAGTCAGTATGCAGGGGATATATGTCTGGATAGTGAAGTATCCCATTCTTCTACTCAGTTCAAAGTAGATAGTCATGACAACATAATCACCTGTAATAAAATAGTCCCTGAATCAAGATGATGTTCATGGGTTAAAACAGTGTGGGAACTGATTTATAATTTAATTTTCAAACTAAATTTCTTGAATGAAAATTACAAGTACTGCAACACCAATTGGAAAAAGCATTAAACTCTGGTACTCTTGAACTGTATCCTGCCTGTGACCTTGTAAACATTTTAGTGTGTGGGTGTAAAGGGCACACTAACAAATGTTTATAGGTAAGGGGCCAGGCATGCACATCTACTTAATGACAGGAAATTTGATAAGGGATGGTTGCTAGAGACCATCTGTATGCTGCATAATTATGTCAAGAGTCACAAGAAACTTTAGCCCCCAAACAGATCTAGGCCATTCTAAGGCTTTGTGTCTTTAATAACAGCAGTCATTAAACTTCTCCTTTTTCATTTGTAATATTTCATTACTTTTAGAAAGTGGTGCATGGCCAAATGTTGTGCCATTGCAAGGAGAAGATACATGTATCTCTATATGAAGTGTGCATTCCATGTCTTCACCATCCTGTCTTCATAGTCACTTAAAATGAAGAGAAAGCATTGCATATCTTAAAGGAGAAGCATGCGATAACTTTACTAAAATCTGGTTTTACTACATGTCCAAAGCCATGTTTAATCTTAAAGTAATAGTAATTAGAATAAATAAAACATGAGAACATTTAAGTATATCAACCATGTAAAAGGTTAATTAGCTAATATGGTTATATTAAGATTAAGTTCTAGAAAATCTTTAGAGTAATTATTTGAATTACTAAGTAGTTACTATATACTTACCTTTTAAAATAAATTTTAATGTTTAAATATTAGTGAGATCTTTTCCTTTCAGATACAACCATTTACATACACATTTAAATTGCAGACCTTTATGTTTATAACTGTTTCTACCAGACATAGCAGTCCTGTGTTGGCTCCTGACTGAATGAAGGGCCAAGAGCATGGAATGATGCTACATAAAAATAGCATGGAATTCTGGCTTCAGATCCAAAGTCTGAAGAAGCAGAGACTTGTACTCTTATTTTAAAAACAAGAAATAGGCATCAATACACACACTGAACATCACCATATTGGTGGTTTCAAAAGGGAAATAAGATTACAGGGGAGGCCACCATCCTAGAATCTTAACGACTGAGGATCTTCATCTGGAAAGATGCAGAAGATGAGATGCTCACAGGAAGATGCAGAAGGTACCAGAGGCTGGAGGTCAACAAGACACTGGTATTTGAAGACAATTTGTGGAGGCTTAATGAAGAATAGCAAGAGTGAGAAACTCCCAAGGGCAATAGACCTGATGAGGTTGGTCAGTAAGACCCTTTTCCTCCAAGTTTCCACTTGGTTCTAGATGGGAGGATCTGAGGAAGCTCCCAGCATGCACTGTTTGTCAGAAGTGTAACCCTCATAAAATTTTCCCAGTCCTCTTCACACTGTCAAGTTTACTAAAAACCAAATAAATTCAGACAGACTTTCACGGCTACGAAAGCATAGGAATATTTGATGACTAAATGCAGCGTGATATCTGTCCTCGCTAAAATGGAGACTGTGGAGAAAAACAAGGAAACCTGGTCATTATGGTGTTTACTTAATGACACTGAATCAACATTAGCTCATCTGGTTTTCAAATGTGCTACAGTTATTTAGAGAAGTGAGGAAACTTGAGTCTGAGGTGCCGAAGAAATCTATGCTATCTGCATAATATTCCTGTAAATCCAAAAACATCTACAGTAAAATACCCAGTGTTTAAAACTATAGCCTACAACACAGAGAGATACAACCATTTATTAAAGATTGTTCAAAATTCCAAGATTTTACAAACATTTTCTTTGGCTGAGACCAGTCCTTTCATGATTCATCTGTCTGAATTAAGCATCTGCTGAAATAAGGAATGGTGAAGTGGGTTAGGGGATGATGTACTCTAGTCTTAGCCAATTGGAGCAACCTATTCACTTGTCTATAGTGATTGCACATTAACAACCTCTACTGAACCCATAGAAGATATAAGTCTCAGGACAAACTAATCTAAATTTTGAAGATAGAAGCTGTTGTCAAAAACCTGCCTCTCAGCACTGCTTACCTGGGAAAAATACAACCAAACATGATAGTATCCATAATTATATGCAGCATAAATTTGCATCTAACTTGCTAAATGCCAGTTGTGAGGTGTCATGAAAGTTGAAGCTCCTTTGTGGCTACAGTTTTCTTTCTCCTTTCTCCTGTAGTTTTTTTTCTCTCAAGAGAACTACCAGATTTTCCAAAGAAAGAATATGGAAAATTTGAAAAGAGCCACCCCATGGGGTACCGTAAGAGAGCAAGAAAATCTATGCCTGCACCTCTACATGATCCATGAAACAAGTTTCGATGTATAGGAGCAAGGACAGCAAAATTCATTTACTGAGCCAGAGGTGGAAACCTACCACAAGTATAGGCTGAGGGCATCTGGAAAAGATGGAACACTCTGTGATTGGGGAGAAGCGAGAATATCTGGCAAGCCAAGCATTACATCTCGAAGAGGAAAAAGAATAATTTCAAGGACCAGAACCACAGCCATAAATCCTTGTAGCTGAAGTTTTCCTGTGTCCTGCCTAGTCTGCATCTGCTCAGACCCAAGTAAACACACAGAGGCTTATATTAATTAAAACTGCTCAGCCATTAGCTCAGGCTCACTACTGACTAGCTCTTACACTTAAACTCAGCCCATCTCAGTTAATCTATATGTCGTCACATGTTCAATGGCTTTACCTGTGTGCCATTACATGCTGCTCCCTGGATGGCAAGCTGGCATATCCTAACTCAGTCTTCCTCTTCCCAGCATTCTCCTTGTCTGCTTATCCTGTCTATACTTCCTCCTTGGCTACTGGCCAATCAGCGTTTTATTAAACCAGTGTACAAAAGCATTATTCCACAGCAAATCCTCCCTAAGACTGGGTCTTTGTTATAGCAAAAGATGATATCTCATTTCTTCCACGCTCCAACACCCATAATAACAAACACTATTGAGGACCAGGAGTGAGAACAAGGTGGAAACAATGTAAATGATGCTGTCTAAGAATAGCAGAAAGGAAGGTCCAGAGGCAAGTGGGAACCAGGGCACAAAGATGGCCTGGCATTTTAATAAGCTTTTATTTTATTTGTGCATGTGTATATGGCTAAAGGCAGTTGTAAGATGTGTGGCATGTGTGTAGGGAGCTGAAGTCAGGTCCTCTGTAAGAGCAGCATGCAGTCTCAACTGCTAAGTCATCTATGCAGCCTCTGACCTAACCTTTGACTAAATGTGCTAAAAAGCTCTCACACTGAAGGCTGTTCATTTCTAAGCATATAATATGCTTTTCTCAGTTTCTGCTTTAGTATAAAACATTCATAGCTTACAGATTAAATTATAGTACATACAACAATTCAAGAATAGCAATCTGAAGAGACAAATCAATCAGCTGAACCAGAAATAGGCATGGAAAAACATAATTAAAATAATTGCTTCATACAGTAAACATTCCAATGGAGAAGGTAGATGGCACGAAAGATAAAAATAGGTCAGAAAACATTTTAAGAAACAATCAAAAAGAAATGAAAGAAATCCAAAGACCCATACAGTAAGAGAGATGAAGCAATTCATTGGCTGACCATAACCAAAAAAAGCACCACTAAATAGGTGAAATTAATTATCCTCTATGAAACACAAAATGGAATTTGAGTTTAAAAGTCTGAACAGAGTGAAAAACTACCATGGGAAAGGAACAAAGAGCCTCATAAACCTCGAGTTTCACAAGAGAGAAAGAGAGAGAATGAGATTATTTGACTAATCCAAAAAGCTCCAACACCAGGCAGGACAATTGTAAAACACACAAAGTAACAATAACAATGAAACACACACAGACACATTAAAACTATTCTGTTGGAAGTTCCACCTCAGCCCCCTCCTCCCTTTCCGAACTGTGCCCCTCAGAAAGCCCACCAAGCTGGTGGCTCCTCCCCTGGAGCTCCTCAAGACCATGCCTACAGGGTATTTAAGCTCCGGTTCATAGACCTGCCACATGATTTCTCCTCTTCCCCTGAGATCACCTGGGAATGCTTTGCCCAGATTAAACCTGTTCTGATTAATTTGGCTTATTGCTTTGGTGGAGAAATCCCACTGGGGATTCTAAACCTGTGGAATTCAGGTGGCAAGGCAGTGCTGTGAGTCTGTCTGAAGAAGAGAGAAGCATGTTTCCTGCAAGATAACAAGGGAAAGGCTTGTAGTAGACTAAGCTTCTGAAACTGTGCAAGGATATTAGTTATGTTTCTATTCTGTGATAAAATACCATAACCAAGGTGTCTTATGGAAGAAAGAGTTTATTGGGCATATGGTTCCAGACAGTTAGGGCCTATGAAGGTAGAGTGGAGGCATAGCACCAGGAGCTGATAGCTCTCATCTTAAATCACAAGCCCAAATCAGAGAGAATAAACTAGAAATGGCTCAAGTCTTTAAACTTTTGAAGTCTTCCCCTGATTTCATACAACCACCAACAAGAACCAAACCTCCCAAGCCTTCCCAAACAGCATCACCATCTGGGGACCAAGTATTCAAATGTCCAAGACTATGCAGGTCATGTAATTTAAACCACACAGAAAGGGAGAAGACAAGGAAAGGAACTCCTTGGAGTCCTCAAAGAAAATAAAAAAATGAACTTCAGTGAGAATACCTTTCTAAAGGTGAAGATAACATAGTAACCTCAGATACACATCATCTAAGGGAGTTCCTCAGCATTTGATTTGCTCATGAAAAATTGTCAGTTTGCTCAGATTAAGCCTGGTCTTATTAATTCAGCTTGATTTGGCTTATTGCTTTGATGGAGAAACCAATTCCCGGGGATTCAAAGAGCATTAGGCAATTCAAAGATAAAGCATCAATAAATTCAAAGATAAAGTTTACTCAGACATTTGCATGGGAAAATGTGCTAGAAATGGGGGGGAGGTGTTAAAAATCCAATAATGACACTATATATTCTTTT